GGATGTTTTGTTTGTGTATTTTTGGAAGACGATACAAGCGGGGTGTACGAGAAGATGTCTCTCTTGAAATGAGAGGTTTCTTCCTCTCAGTGGGAAAGCACTCATTACCAATTCTAACATTCCACTTCCAAATAAGATTGCTTGTACAGTCGCACTTAATAACGAACGAAATTTTATTTCTTTTTTTTAATATGCGACTGGGTATAGATACATTTTTAGATGGAGTGTACGGATATAAATCAACAGATTCTTGAGATTTATCATTACGCGACATTTCAGAAATTTTAAAATTCCAAATACCGTATATGTACACACCACAGGAGTTAAGTCTACTTGTTCAGCGTAAGGAGGCTTGTTTATTTTACCCAATATATACAAATGGCCCTACTGATCATACTTTGATCACGCATCTATCATTGTTTAGGTTAATTTTTTGTTGGATGGAGAGAATCTAACTCACTCATTTGATAAAGCAATTTAAATTGTCTTACTTGTAGGGTCAACTGAAACCTGAACACTTTGGATTTATATGCAAGGAGGGCTCAAACAATAATTACTTTATGGGTTATATTTTCAAATGCGAATCATCTTCAGTGGCAAATGATACAATGGCAGGTGAGATATACGAATAAAAGGTTATTTTGTAAGATACTTTCCTCTTTAAAACGATTCAGTGCAGATCCCGGATGCCACTGACAGGAATAAACATCTCTTATGGCGGAAAATATGATTTGAAAATGATTTTTATAATTTATAATGAGGATTTTGGGAGATATTTTTTTGTCTTCAAAAATATGCATTGCAAATTTCGGACGCCACTGGCATGAAGAAAAAATTGTGTAACAGAAAATGAAGTTGTACTAGCACATTTCATAAAAACATCTTATCATATCAAAGTAATAATTTTTCTCTCAACACGTCAGCAACTTGTAATTCAAAATTGAAACCCTCATGGCATAGTTTGTATATGACCTTTTTTCTCAAAATGTTGACTTTGAATATGGAATTTCCATTCAGGTATAACAGCTATTTCAATCAAATATATTGAATATTTATGATGAGTTTTATTATTCAATGCTGAAGATATTTCTATGGAATTCATGATTCCTTGGTCTTCGGAAAAGTTAACAAAATACCCATACAAAAGCTGAAGGTATCGTTTCTTACCTTTTTCGGGTATACAACCTTACACAATTTGAAATATAAACAAAGCTACATCAATAAAGAATCCCAATTATTCAGTAACTTGTATTCATGCATTTTGCCTACAAATTAAATAATAAATTGATAAAAAATCTTTACTCAGTTTTCTTCACTCGTCGACAGGATGTTTTTTCGAGAATTTAGTTAAGATTCACATTTCTGTTTTCAACCTCTTGTCTTAGCAATGGCAACCAGGTACGATCCATTTCCACAGATGATTTTAAGAATATTCTCCACTATCCCCGATTTTGCCATCTGTCTTCTCCCTATACAGTGTGTGCGATTTCAAACCGCAACACCTTGTTATTCTGGAATCCATGAACCGACTTTGAAAAATGATACTTTCAAATTATGGTACTCGACGAGCTCTATCCAAATATGTTAACAGATATGATTTATAGTCTAGTTCACATGTACTTTTTTTTGTAACATTTTTCGGCCCTGTCGAAAAATTACGACCAAGTCAAATAAGCCTGTGGAGTC